CCCGGATGCAAAAGGTCTACCACTCAAGCAGGGAGACAAAGTGATGGAGCCACAAGAGAAGCAGAGAGAGCAAAGCTGGTGGGATATCCAGCAGAAAATAACTCCTAGTCATTGCATTTTACCAGTGCAAGGTAACTTTTTTAATCATTAAGCTTAGCTTTTTATTTTTTTTAATTTTTGGTTGCACTGTTTTCATCGCTTCGTGCAGCCTTTCTCTAGTTGCAACAAGTAGGAGTTACTCTTGCCACTGCACTGGCTTCTCATGGCAGTGGCTTCTCTTGCTCTGGAGCACAGGCTCTAGGCACAGGAGCTTCAGTGGTTGCCGTGTGTGAGCTCAGTAGTTGTGGTTCACAGGCTCTAGAGTGCAAGCTCAGTAGTTGTGGCATACCCACTTTAGTTGCCCCAAGCATAAGGAATCTTCCCAGGCCAGGGACTGAACAAGTATCCCTGCATTGGTAGGCAGATTCCCATCCACAGTATGACCAGGGAAGTCTTATCATTAAGTCTATATATTTGCTCTGGGGAGTTATCCATGGCACATTTTAAGTGAAACAGTTGCACATCCTGCCACCCAGCATGTCCATTTGCTGCCTGTTCCTTCCATTGCTCAGCTTCTTCAGAGGAATGAATATTCTCATGTTCATATAAGTGCTGGGAAATCACGCAGGATTTGTAGTCTGTGCATCTGAGTTGGACATCCAGCTCCCTCACTTGCTATCAGGTTGGTAACCAAAGGACATCAAATCCTTTTTAGTTCTCTCAGAGAGTAGTTCTGATGTTCAGTTGACTTAATAACATGCAAAGCAGTGAACGTGCAAAGCCAAAGAATTGATGCTTTTGAACTGTGGTGTTGGACAAGACTCTTGAGACTCCCTTGGACAGCAAGGAGATCCAATCAGTCAATCCTAAAGGAAATAAGTCCTGAATATTCATTGGAAGGCCTGATTCTGAAGCTGAAACTCCAATACTTTGGCCACCTGATAGGAAGAACCAACTCATTGGAAAAGACCCTGATGCTGGGAAAGACTGAAGGCAGGAGGAGAAGGGGCTGACAGAGGATGAGATGGTTGGATGGCATCCCCAACGTGATGGACATGAGTTTGAATAGGCTCTAGGAGTTGGTGATCAACAGGGAAGCCTGGCGTGCAGCAGTCCATGGGGTCGCAAAGAGTTGGACATGGCTGAGCAACTGAACTGAAAGCAGTGAACAAGTGCTGGTTTATTAGATTACGTTGGTATGTAGTTTTCTTTCCTTGCAGTGCTATTATGAGCTGGACTGTGTATGACCACATCCTCCGGCCCAGAAAAATTCGTATGTTGAAGCCCTAATGATCCATGCCTCAGAATGAGGCTGTATCTGGAGACAGTGTCTTTAAAGAGATGATTAAGGATAAATGAGGTACCTGGGATGGGGCCTAATGCAATGACTACTAATATCCTTTTAAGAAGAAGCAACTAGGACACAGATACACAGAGGGAAAACCAGTGTCTTAATACATAGGAGAAAACAGACTTCTATAAGCAATGGGAGTAGACTCAGAAGAAATTAACCTTGCCAACACTTGAATCTCCAGACTCCAGAACTGTGAGATAATGAATCTCTTTATTTAATCCATCCCATCTGTGATACTTTGTTATAGCAGCCCAAATAAACTTTGCCTATTCTTTTCTTTTTTATTGAAGTTTAATTGATTTACAATGTTATGTTAGTTTCAGGTACACAGTAAAATGATTCATATATATATGTATATATATATATATATATATATATATATATACACATTCTTTTTCAGATTCTTTTCCCTTAAAGGTTATTACAAAATACTGAGTACAGTTCCTTGTGCTATACAATAGATTCTTTGTAGGTTATCTATTTTACATACAATAGTGTGTATATGTTAATAGCAAACTCCTAATTTTCCCTCCCCTCCTTTCGCCTTTGGTAACCATAAATCTGTTTTCTTTGTCTGTGGGTGTATTTCTGTTTTGTATAGAGGTTCATTTGTATCATTTTTTAAATTCCACATATAAGTAATATTATATAATATTTGTCTTTGTCTGGCTTACTTTACTTAGTATGATAATCTCTAGGTCCATCCATGTTGCTGCAAATGGCATTATTTCATCCCTTTTTTGGCTGAGTAATATTCCTTTCTCTGTGTGTGTGTGTGTGTGTGTGTGTGTGTGTAATACATCTCCCATATCCATTCACCTGTTGATGGACACTTAGGTTTCCTCCATTTTTTGACAATTGTAAATAATGCTGCTACAATCACGGGTGCATGTATCTTTTTAGTGTTTTGATTCAGTTTGGTTTGGTTTGGATATATACCCAGGAGTGGAACTGCTGGGTCATAGTTCTATTTGTAGTTTATTCAGAAACCTCTGTACTGTTTTCCATAGTGGCTGAACCAGTTACATTCTCACCAACAGTATACAAGGGTTCTCTTTCTCCATATCCTCACCAACATTTGCTGTTTGTATTCTTTTTGATTACAGCCATTCCAATAGATGTGAGGTGATATGTCATTGTGTTTCAGGTTTGCATTTCCCTGATAATTAGCAATATTAAGCATCTTTTCATGTGCCTGATGGCCATCTGTATTTCTTCTTTGGAAAAAAATGTCTCTTCATCTGCCCATTTTTTAACTGGGTTAGTTTTTTGATGTTATGGGAGAGCTAAGAAAAACAATAGTCCTGGACATTTTCTCTGATATGTTCTTGACAAGTCACCCTACAATTTCTGCAACCTAAGAAACAGACTTTAAAATAACACATTAATTGGTTTTGTGAAGAGTTCTTCCCTTTGGAAAGTCAAATATGCTTGGAGACTCAGGTCCTCAGAGACATGAAAGAGACACCAAATTGAACAGTACCTTCCTCGGGAGGGATCCACTGTGAAGGGAAAGGAGAAAATAAGCAAGTCAGCAAAGACCATCTGCCTTTATCACTGCCTGTTTCTTCAAATAAAAAGACAGAATTCTGATAAAATCTCCTGAAAAACACTGAAAGAGCCACTAAGATGAAATGAACCAAGGACTTCCAAACTGCAAAAGGAAACCAGTGTGTGAGCTTGTATTTTTAATTGATGTTCTTGAATATGGTTTTATTTTTGCAAAGAATTTAGATTTATGCTTCTAGTATATATCTGAGTGTATTTATATTTCTAGGTTAAATGTATTTTCACATTCACTGCTATTTGTAATGATATTTGTGTGTATATATACAGTACATGATTTATTTGTGACCTTAGCTGACTCTAGCATCTGAGGCTACTGGGCTATTTTTCTGTGCTTGTGTTTAGAAATGTAATATGTTAGTGTGTGGATCTGTGAAGTTTACATATGTGGTTTGGATTTTTACATACATATTAAGATAAATAGAGATGAAGTTTGAGGGCTGTAAAATGCAGAAATAATCAACCAGGAAGGATTTTGTCGTCTCCTTCCTGAGTATCTTTAAAAACTAGAGCAATTCTCACTCCTTTGTCTAATTAACAGTTTAGCTGCCTACAGGAGAGAGAATCTTTCTAATTTCTTCTCTCCCCTTTGAAAACCATGAAATTTATCTAATGGCAAACTGATGGGGGAAAAAAGAGAGAGAGGTTGAGTGGATCTGGTAACTGAAGAAAGAGCTGAAAGCGGGGGAAAAACTATGTGAAAATTGTGTGAGAGGGGAGACAAATTGAGGGAATGGAAAAAGGAAACATGTGAAAGAAGGAAAGTAAAAGACAGACAGAAGGACTCAAAAGGGAAAAAACACAGAGAAAAATTCCGACTAAAACGGAATTTTTCATGCTCTCCCTGAACATGGAACACATCTGACTTTGAGTACGGAAATATTTGCTGGGAGGGAAAATTCTGTCCCCAGCACTGTGGGAAGGACGGGCAAGGGAGGAAAGAGCAAAAAGGAGGCTAGAACGATCCAGCCCTCATCCCTGGAGTAACTGAAAACAGAATTCAGTGTGTTGTTATGAAAGGTGGGCACCACCAGGGAGAAGTCGGCTGAGGGAGTTAGGCACAGGGAGCACTATTCACCCAGGGTTCCAAGAGCCAGCAAGAGTCTAATAAGGACTCAAGACTGTACTGCCTAAAAGGCCATGAAATTATAAAAGACCGGAAGTTCCAATGCTTAGCCCAGATACAACAAGAGGTCATCTTTTTTTAAATTTCAAATTTTGAAACAAGGTTTATTTATTTTTAATTGTTGGCGACACCCTGTGCCACCTGAGATCTTCGTTCCCCTACCAGGCATGGAACCCGCATCCCCTGCACTGTAAGGAGGAGTCTTAACCACGTGACGGACAGAGAAGTCCCAACAAGACGCCATCTTTGCCCACCTCACGATTCCATAATTGCAACTTTCCCTCGCCATTTCTTTCGTCCTTCATCAGAAGGGATTTGAGCAGGATGCCTACAAACACCTCCGTGGTGACTGAATTCATCCTTGTCGGCTTCTCCCGCCTGGCCGACCTCCAGGGCTTCCTCTTCTCCTTCTTTCTCACCGTCTACCTGCTCACGGTGGCCGGCAACCTCCTCATTGTGGTGCTGGTCTCCGCTGACGCTGCCCTCCGGACCCCCATGTACTTCTTCCTTCGAAACCTCTCAACCCTGGAGATTGGCTACACGTCTGTCACGGTCCCCCTGCTGCTTCACCACCTCCTCACCGGTCAGCGCCGCATCCCTCGCTCTGGTTGTGCTCTCCAAATGTTCTTCTTTCTCCTTTTCGGTGCCACAGAGTGTTGCCTCCTGGTAGCCATGGCCTATGACCGCTACGCCGCCATATGCCAGCCCCTTCGCTACCCACTACTGCTAAGCCAACGGACGTGCCTGTATCTAGCTGGGTCAGCGTGGGCCTGTGGGGCACTGGTGGGCCTGGGCCACACCTCCTTTATCTTCTCCTTGCCCTTCTGTAGCCCCAATGCCATCCCACACTTCCTCTGTGAGATCCAGGCTGTCCTGCAGCTGGTATGCGGGAACACCTCTCTCAACGAACTACAGATTATCCTGGCCACTGCTCTCCTCATCCTCTGTCCCTTTGGCCTCATCCTGGGTTCCTACGGGCGTATCCTGGCTACTATCTTCCGGATCCCATCTGCTGCTGGCCGCCTCAAAGCCTTCTCCACTTGCTCCTCCCACCTGCTGGTGGTGTGCGTTTTCTATGGCACCGCCATCTTTATCTACATCCGGCCTAAGGCCAGCTATGATCCCGCCAGTGACCCCCTTGTCTCCCTCTTCTATGCTGTAGTCACCCCCATCCTCAATCCCATCATCTACAGCCTCCGGAACGCTGATGTCAAGGCTGCCCTAAAGAGAACCATCCAGAAAATGGGGCCGGCAAAAATTTGACAAAGCATCGCTGATGATGACCCCCATTCCCAGTCAGCCCCAAATCACCAAAGATCAAAGGGAGAGGAGGCAGCTTGTCAAGAGGAAAATGTTACCTTAAAGAACTACTGGACTCAAACTCCCTCCTCCGATTTCAGCAACCCATGCGCACACACACGCATGCAAACACTATTCTGCCTTCTCCTAAGAAACAGGAAAAATTTAGAATGGAGGATTAACTTTACAAGCAGAACAAGTTGACAATTGGGACAACGTTACAAATTGTCATCCTCACCAATGAAGGTAATAAAATTTCCAACCAGAGTAATGATCCTTGAAGTTATTTGACATTTGTAGATTCTAAGGTAAGGCATTTATTCTCTGGGTGGTCCTGCTGGTTAGTACTTAGCACACATAATTATACCTAAGTAAATCCATCACCAGGTAGAAAGAAAAGCCCTTAAGAAGTGAGAGCAATGAAAAAAGTTTCAATAAAGGTAAGTTCTTATGAGAATCGACTTCCCTGGTGGCTCAGCTGATAAAGAATCCATCTGCAATGCAGAAGACCTGGGTTCCATTCCTGGGTTGAGATGATCACCTGGAGAAGGGAATAGCTACCCACTCCAGGAGTGGTTTAGAGAATAGATTATAATGTCTGTAATTCAAGACCATAATTTTTCCAATTGATCACCTATGTTTTAACAGGAGAACTATATCATCGCTCTGAGCCTTAATCTATTTATCCATAAAATTTGCATAATAATAGAGTATTTCTTTGGGTTTGTTGAGGATTTATAGACTTGTTAAATAGGCAAGTTCAATGTCTCACACAAAATAGTGTCTCCATAAAAGTTTTTATTAGAGAGCTAGACAGATCTGTACAGAGGATAATATCCATTGCACATTGGGCACCTTTGCTGGGAGAGAGAAGGATCTTCTTGAAGTGTCAGTGACCTCCTGCACTAAGATTCAAAGGCTAGTGGACTCCACACCCATCACAGACATAAAGACAACCAGGCCACTGTAGAGCAGATATAATGGCCAAGTTCAGGAGAGTCAGAGACACACAGAACAAAGAAATGAGATGAGCTGAGACCATCAGAAAACATGTCTCGGGGGCAAATTTTCAGTCATTATTAAAAATACAATCCATACTCATTTTCTTATATGCAATACTTTATTCAGTTTTACAAGCATTTACTGAAGGCCTTCCATATGCCCACTGCTCTGCTTGGCACTGTGGTGAATACCAGAGAAATACAGGGTGGTGGTTTTGCCCAGATGGTGCTTACTAGCTGGTTGGGGAAATAATGTTCACTCCGGTGAATCTGGGCTTCACTGGCAGCTCAGTTGATAAAGAATCTGCCTGCAATGCGGGATACCTGGGTTCAAGCCCTGGGTTGGGAAGATCCTTTGGAGAAGGGAAAGGCTACCCACTTCAGTATTCTGGCCTGAAGAATTTCATGGTATAGTCCATGGGGTCACAAAGAGTTGGACATGACTGAGCACATGTGTGCGCACGCACACACACACACACACCCCTGTGAAACCATCACCACATGCATGACATGAAAGCATTCAAGCCCTTCAAAAGTTTTCTCATGTCCTGTTTCAATTTCTCCCTTCTACACCTCCACACATTGCTCATTCCCAAGCAACCTCTTATAGCTTTCTGTGGCTATAGATTATTTTGCCTTTTCTAGAGTTTTATATAAATGGAATCACAAAGTATGTACTCTTTTGTGACTTCTTTCATTCAGCACAATTAATTTGAAAGCCATCTATGTTGTGTGAATCAACAGCTCATTTCTTTTTATTGCTGTTATTCCATTATACAAACATATGACAAAATATTTATCCATTAACCTATTGGTGGAAATTTGGGTTGTTTTCAATTTCTGGTTATTACAAATAAAGCTGCTCTGAACATTATGTACAAGTCTTTGTCTGCTTTTATTTCTCTTCAGTTGATATTTAGGTGTGGCAGAGAAAACCAGAATTGAAAAAGACATGTGTACCCCAATGTTCATCGCAGCACTGTTTATAATAGCCAGGAAATGGAAGCAACCTAGATGTCCATCAGCAGATGAATAGCTAAAAAAGCTGTGGTACATATACACAATGGAATATTACTCAGCCATTAAAAAGAATACATTTGAATCAGTTCTAATGAGGTGGATGAAACTGGAGCCTATTATACAGAGTGAAGTAAGCCAGAAAGAAAAACACCAATACAGTATACTAACGCATATATATGGAATTTAGAAAGATGGTAATAATAACCCTGTATGCAAGACAGCAAAAGAGACACAGATGTTTTGAACAGTCTTTTGGACTCTGTGGGAGAGGGCAAGGGTGGGATGATTTGGGAGAATGGCATTGAAATATGTATATTATCATATGTGAAACGAATCGCCAGTACAGGTTCAATGCATGATACAGGGTGCTCGGGGCTGGTGCACTGGGATGACCCAGAGGGATGGGAAGGGGAGGGACGTGGGAGGAGGGTTCAGGATGGGGAACACATGTACACCCGTGGCAGATTCATGTCAATGTATGGCAAAACCACTACAATATTGTAAAGTAATTAGCCTCCAATTAAAATAAGTAAATTTATATTTTAAAAATTTTTTAAATTAAAAAAAAAATTTAGGTGTGGAATAGCTGGATCATATGGAAAGTGTTTAACTTTTTAAGAAACTAATTAATCACTTTGCTCTGCTTTCATGAACTTAAAGCCAAATTTGTAAGTCATCTCCAGGAAATATACATTGTCTCACGGTACACTTTTGAAATATTCACCTGATATCTGACATCACCTTATTTTTTCTTTTTTTTTTTCAGTTAATGGTTTTTATTATTATAAAGTACACTCCAGAGACCAGATAGAAAGGCTCACTTCATTCTGAACCTCCTTTGGTAGAAAAATATGGAACGCTTCACGAATTTGCGTGTCATCCTTGCGCAGGGGCCATGCTAATCTTCTCTGTATCGTTCCAATTTTAGTATATGTGCTGCCGAAGCGAGCACATCACCTTATTTTTTCTATTCTGCTGTTTTCTTTGTTCAGTCTACCTCATCCTTACTTTGTGGATAATATGTAAGGCTTGTTAAAGTTTTTCTAGAACAAGATCTAGGGTCATGAGCATAGAAAAGACAGCAGAGAGGAGGGCTGAAAGGAAAAGGGCTGAATCTAATGAGCTCTATGTCAGGTTCAAGCTCCACTATTCCATGCCAATTTCCCTGAGGAATTCCTGCTTCTTGTGGCTTATTCTTGGTCAAAGAACCAAAAAGAAGGTCTGGTAAATGCTCCCTTCCCACCATTGCTACCAAGGGATCTTGAACTACATTGTGTATGTGTGTTAGTTGCTCAGTTGTGTCCAACTCTTTGTGACTCCGTGGCTCCTCTAGCCATGGAATTCTCCAGGCAAGAATACTAGAGTGGGTAGTCATTACTTTCTCTGGGAGATCTTCCTGACTCAGTGATCGAACCTGAGTCCCCTGCATTGCAGGCAGACTCTTTAACCAGCTGAGCCACCAGGGGAGCCTGAATCTTGGCCAACACAAGCTGTCCCCTTGCCGCCATGGCAAATACCACTCAAAATAGACAGCAAGTTTCTAAATTCTGAACTATGACCCCCGGATATAAGAGAATTCACGTTTCTGTTTATTCACGTGGGGATTTCTAGCAGAGAGCAGACAAGCATATGTTCATCAGGAAAGAAGGAAAAGATACAGGGAGGAGCCAGTTATCAGAGAGATTTCTGGGTGGCCAGTGTCCATCATCACCCAAGGTTAAGGAATCTACTGACAAATCTGAATCTGCTTCCCAAATCCAATGTGGCTTCTGCCCCATCTTTCTGATGGATGCTCGTCATATCTGGGAGCTGTATCTAGGCAGCCAGTATCTCACCCACCTAGAAAATGTCATCTGAGGTTACTGTGTCTCACACAGGCCATCAGCCCTGTGTCTGGATGAGATCTCCCAAAGAGGGGAAGTCTCATCAGCATCTACGGGGTTATTAGGAGGCAGTCCCAACATCTTGGTGGATTTGCACACCAGACACATGCAAAAAACAGTAACACAACTGCCTGGCCAGGTGCCTGAAGCGCACTTTTAAAGACTCATAAAAGCCCTTCCCTTTGAATCATAGGCAATTTTTACTTCAGGAATTTCTGAAAACATGATCATTTCTCATTCACAGGTTAAGGTAGAGTTCTAAGAGCGAGACACTTCAGAACATGAAACCTAGACAGAGGGAGAGGCCAAACAAAAATGAAGGGTCCGAAACTTCCCTGGTGGGCCAGTGGTTAAAGACTCTGCACTTCCACTGCAAGGGGGTACAGATTCCATTCCAGGTTAGGGAAATGAGATCCCACCTGTCATCCAGCCAAAATGTTAAGTAAATAAAGGGAAGGGTCTGGAAAGGTGGCCACGTTCGACTTTGTCCATATCCCAGTGTGCCCTGGTCAACCGCAGGGCTTCTCTTGGGTAAGCCAGACTTCATCTGGGTTCTCTCATTTCCTTGCACTTTCTGAGCTTTTCCTGATGAACTAATGAGACAACAGACAATTTTATAACGCGCCCCCTTGTGGCCAGGGACTGGTACAGATTACAATCTCCATCTCTTCAATACAGACTGTACAGACTGGAACACCCTGATCACCTTTGGTTTGGATTTGGGTGGGAAAGTGCAGCGATGGAGCTAAGGGCTCTATACTACTGGCTTTTCACTAAACTAGGACAGTGGTTCTTAAAATGCAGTCTCCTAACCAGCAGGAACGACATCTCTCAGGAACGTAGAAATGTAAAATTCTCAGGTGCCTCCCAGACCTACTGAATCAGGAATTCTATGGGTAATATCCAGCTTAGAGACTAAAATTAGTAGTCTAGACCTTAGCTCAAGGGATACTTGCTTCACAATTTCAGGATCAGGTCTTGCTCTCCAGAATTCTGGAGATGATGCAGTTCTCTATTATGGCCACAGGGTGGCAGACCAATCCTGACATCATGATGCTCA